TGCTGAGGAGTTTGGCGAGTTGCAATGGTTAATCTTGATTGTCAACTTGATAGGATTTAGATCACCATGGAACAGATCTTTGGGAATGTCTGTGAGGGATTTTCCAGATTACATTAATTTAGGTAGAAAGACCTGTCTTAAGTGTGGTTGGTATCATTTCATGGGCTGGGGTCCTGGACTGAGTAAAAGGTAGAAGTGAACTGAGCACAAGCATTTATCACTTTCTGTTTCCTGACTTCAGATGCAATGTGACCAGTTGCCTCAGGCTCCTGCTGCCATGACTTCCCCCAAGATGAGCTGTACCCTGGAACTGCAAACTCTACCTTTGTGTCTTTATGTTGCTTTTGTTAGGTGTTTTGTAGCAGCAATAAGACAAGTAACTAATACAGAAGTTAGGCTTATTTCTGCCCACGACAAAGTTAGAGGTTCATCTATGATGAAAAAAGGGAAGGAATGATTTCAGTAATCAATGTGTATGCCACAGATGTAAAAGCAACTCATAGATAAATGAAATGATTAGCTGGACTTAGTGATACAGGCCTGCATCTTACCTAGTTGAAAGGCTAGCTCAGGAGAATAACAAGTTCAAGGCCAGCCCAAGCAACTTAGTGAGACCCTGTCTCAAAAGTAAAAGACAAAAGGGCTAAGGATGCCATTCAGTGATACAGTACTTTCCAGCATACATGAAGACTAGGTTCTTTTTTTCAGTCAAGGTCTCATTATATAGCTCTGGCTGGCCTGGAACTTGCTATGTAGACCAAGCAGGCCTCAAACTTACAGAGATCTGTTTGCCTTCTGAGTGCTGGGATTTAAGGTATATGGTACTATGTCCACCCAGAGTTAGTTATACAGAATATACAAAAATGAATATCCACCAAATATGAAAAACTAATTTTTTAAAAACTTAAATTTTAAATTTATTTTATGTGTATGCGTGTATTGCCTGCATGTAGGTAAGTGCACCCATGTTGTACAATGCCTGCAGAGGACAGAAGAGGCTGTCGGATCCCCTGGGACTGGAGTTACAGACAGTTGTTAGCTACCATATGTGTGTTGGGATTCGAACCCGGGTCTTCTGCAAGAACAAGTGTTCTTAACCGCTGAGCCATCTCTTCAGCCCCGAAAAAATGATTTTAATAAATGCATTCGTCTATGGTTTCTTGTATATCAACAGCAGGTTTCATCTACACAACCCCGCCTGCTCCCACTGAGAACACTACACCTTCTACCTCCACACTCCTAGAGATGAAGGTCTGGCAGCTGGAACCAGGGGAAGACTAGTGTTCTCCAGATCATGGGTTATGGGGACAGTAGAAATGAAAGAGGAATCAGTTTTGGGACTAGGGCTGGGAACCCAGGTCCATTTGGCTTTGCTCTCCTGAGTCATCCTACTACAACCAAATGTTGTAAATAGCATCTTAGAGGTTTAAAAATATATCAGTTCAGTCCTCATAACAGTCCTAAAGGGTATCTTTCACTACCCATAATTTATAATTGAGGAGACTGAAGCATGGGATTTAAACAATATGTATTTTCTTACTTAAGAATTTATAGCTGCTACCTAAAAACTAAAGCATGTTTTTCTCAGTCAGGTTTTTTTTCTTATATAACAATAATGATCTAAATACTTCTTCTTAAAAAAATTTAAATGTCATATAGTTATATCACTAAGTATATACCAAAGCCAAGCAACTCTGATAGCAGTTTCCCTGGTGTACTAGGCACCTAGCCCCCTTTCAGAGCATCCATACTATAGCAATACAGGCAGGAGTTGGAATGGGGAAGGCATGAGAGTAAGTAGAAAGTATTTTGCTAGCTACTGTATGGTTGAATCAGGCTGAGAGTTATGCTGCTGTTCCTCCTCTTCTTCCTCATCCTCCTCTTCTTCCTCGTCCTCCTCCTCCTCCTCCTCCTCCTCCACTTTTTTTTTTTTTTTATGAAAGTGCAGTGATGTTTTTAATGTCAGGAAATGGCAATTCCTTCAAGACAAAGCATAATTTCTAAGCATGTCTCTTCACATACAAGCTGGCTTTGGGTGCCAACAGCTGATATATTTTTGACCACTTCAAAAATGTCATGTCATAGAACAGCAACAGAAAATTAATTGCCTATTTTTATCGCTGTTCTCTAATTCATACTGTACTTTTATTCACTTCATTTGGCACCTACTTCTTGACTGATCTTATACCTTCCTCTTTGTTCTTTATTTATCCATGTCACATTATCCTGTGTAGCTAGTAATTGATTTTGAGTGATCATGGAGACTGTCCCACAGACACCCCCAGTGCTCAGCCTTCTCTTTTTAGATGGTTCTGAGGATCACTGTGCTTTCTGTAAACACATTTCTTTTTTCTAATTTTGATTATTTAAATTAATTAACTTAAAAATTTATTCTTTGAAACTGTCATACATGTATACAATGAAATATGATCATATCCACTCAGATTTCTTGTTCACTATTGTGCTGGTTATTTTTAACTATCAACTTGGCACAACCTAGAATTACCTGGGGACAGAATCTTTCTTTTGAAAAAGACATATGTTTTCATAATATTTGTATAAATGTTTTGTGTGCATGTATATGCACCACTTGTGTGTTTGGTGTGCAGGCTCAAAGATGGTATCAGATCCTCTGGAAATGGAGTTATAAATGGTTGTGAACCAAGAAAGAGAGACTTAATGAGGAATCATCTACCCAGGTTGATATATGGACATGTCTGTGGGGGATTATCTTGTTCACTGATTAATGTAAGACAACCCAGCCTGTTCTGGGTAGCACCATTCCCTAGGCAAGAGGTCCAATAAGACCAGAGGAAGCTAGCTAAGAGCAAGCAAGCAGCAATCCATGCATACATTCTGTCTCTGCACTTGACTGTGCATGTGATGCTTTAAGTTCCTACCCTGACTTCCCCACATTAATAGACTGCAACCTAGAATTATAAATCAAATAAACTCTTTGTTTGGTGGTTCCCATGCCTTTAGATATCCATCCATTTCTTTTAGGTTTTCAAATTTAGTAGCATATAGGTTTTTAAAGTATTCCCTTATAATGTTCTGTATCTTTCTGGTGTGTGTTGTGATGTTTCCCCTTTCATCTCTGATTTTGTTGATTTGGAGGTGCTCTTTCTTTCTTTTGGGTAACTGGGCTAGCGGTCTGTCGATCTTGTTTGTCTTTTCAAAGAACCAGCTCTTGGAATTGTTGATTCTTTGTATTGTTTCCTTTGTTTCGATTTCATTCATTTCTGCCCTGATTTTTATTATTTCTTTTTGTCTGCTGGGTTTGGGTTTCGTTTGCTGTTGCTTTTCAAGTGTGTCGAGTCCTGGGGACCGCACTGAGGAGCTGGGTTGGTCTGGATGCAAAAGATCAGGAAGAGGAAAGGTCAGCCCCAGTATCCCAGAAGAGGCTGGTGGGTGTTACAGGCCCAGGGAAGCAGAGGGAGTTGAAGGTGGGGTCAAGCCCAGAGTGCTCCTATGGATATGAGAAGGAACTGGGTTGGTCTGGATGCAAAGGATCAGGAAGCAGTGGTGGTTCCCCAGGTGTCTGGGGCACCAAGACAAGGAATGGGACAGGATCCAGGCTAGGAGGAGAGAGCAGGCGGGGAGATGGGAGGGTGAATGCGGCTGCGGGAGTCAAGGCTGCGGGAGTCAGTCAAGGCATGGAGGGCGCGATCGACTTACCCTGGAGAGAGGCCTGCGGGTTGGAGAGAGGGCATCTTTCTTTTCTTTTTGAGACAGGGTGTCACTATGCAGCCCTGGCTGGCCTAGACCTTGCTATGTATACCAGGCTGGCTTCAAACTCACAGAGATTTGCCTCTACCTCCCAAGGGCTGGAATTAGAGGTGTATACCACCACTCCTGGAAAAAAAAAATAGATGACCATAGTTTGATCACCACTGGTCTAGGATTCTTTCACAATCCATCAGTCACCTTCATTTCATCTCTGCCCTGTACCTCTAACTTCAGTGGAGATTGAAGCCTTCGATTTCTGATCCTTTTTCAGTTTTATAGATAAACTAGATGATTTCTAGTAGGTTCCTTCCACTCTGAGTTTTCTCTACTTCTAAAAACTTGGATTTTAGCTTACATAGTCTTCAAGACAAGTGACTACTTGTCTGTGTTCTCTTCTCCATACATCTGCTTTTTTAATATCCTGTTTGGGTCTGTTTTTTTCTTTTCTTCCTTTTCCCTTCAGTATTTAATGGGATTTGAGGAGGGAGTGGAGATAAATATGTGTATTTAATCTACTAAATTTAACCGGAAGTTTCCCCCAATATCCAATTTGGTGAATTTTTATTTTTAATACTTTCTTTGGTAGTTCTTGGGTTAATATTGCATTTGTTCTCCATGTGCTCACTTGCTATGCCACATGTTCGAAGATGTTCTTGGTGAAGAAAAATGAGGTATTTTAAAATATAATGTTCCAGAAGTGCTCACACTATTCAGTGTGTAAAGATCTCAAGGACACTGGCCTATTTCTAACCACCATACTCTTATAATAGAAAGAGCGTTTCACCCTTACTTGTATAAACTATCAGGAGCATTTTTAAATGTTTGTAAAAAACTTTGTGGCTTATTGTTTAAAATTGAACTTAAGGTAGTAAATCAAAGCTTTTGGTGGTATTCCTCTGGCAGTAGCGAGAGCCTGATGCGGGATCCCTAAGAGCTGATCAAAGGGTGATGTCGAACATTTTTTTGTGTGTAGTTGTTTGGTCCTTTAATCTGATGGTGTTTCCAGTTCCATTCTGAATACAGGACTCTGCTCTCCATCTCCCACTCATGTCATCTTGGCAGCTTCTGGCACTGTCTTTGCCAAATGGCCCCTGTTCAGACATTAGCCTGTCTTTGCCATCAAGTCTGTATGAGGTATGAACAGTCATGATTGTCAGAAAATGGGCATCTTTCAAGTTCTTATTCATACTGTGTTTTTGTTCTACTAATTAAATGGAAATTGGAAATGAAAAACATTCATTGAAAATTGACTGCCAGTCCTTTCTGCCTAGGTTCACCTTTCCTTGCCAGTGAAGATGGCGTGCTTGGTGGAGTGATTGTTCTCCGGTCATGCAGATGTTCTGTGGAGTCTGACTCCTCCCAAAATAAGCAAACACTTCTGGGTAAGCTGAACATCCATCTTGTGAGGGTTTCTTTCCTCATTTTGTTTTCAAGACATGAAAAGGCTGATGTCCTTGAGACATTAAGTCAATATTTTAAGCTATGGCAGCTGGGAGTATGCTATTGAATTCTCACCATCACTTTCCCACTGCTCTTTTGCTATAGACAAATTTGTAAAAGATCAGTATTTATTTTTAAGGATATTCTTAGAGCATATTTTTAAGTGGTCTTTAGTAGAGTTCTATTTGAAGAACACTATACTATGTCTCGTTCCCCTGCCTTACTCCACAGAGCATTAGAGGTGACCCATATCACCATGCATAGTAAAATGAAAGCAAGCTTCTTCCTGTTTCCCTTCAAAAGGATTGGACCATGTGAAGAGTCTCTGGCCTAGAACTTAGTCCTGGCTTATTAGCTTTGTTACCTTCTTGTATCCATCTTATGTCCCCTGCTTCTTCCTCATCTGTAAAATGAGACATTTGCCACATCCTCCTCATAAAGCTGTTGTGTTTTTGCAGATGTCCATCCAAATGTGTGATCCTGTGTCTAGCCAAGCGTGCTAGTAGGGATGAAACCAGTCACCTTACTTTTGCTAAGGCACAGACTAGTGGGATTGGCACTGTCTACAGTATGCTTTTTACTAATCTTTTCATGGGGATGGACACTTCTAAAAATCTGTGTAGCAGGGATCCCAGATGTGTCGTTAACTTTTATCAGTTTTTAAAATAAAAGACATGGTAGGATACAGTAGTCTAAACAAGTGATTAGTTTACTGTTTGTATAAGGTAAAGGTCTATATGTGCTAAAATAAAAAAGAAAATATGTATCTTTTACTGTTATTTTAATGTTCTCTGTTTATTTTTGTAACCCAGGCTAACTTCAAATTTTCTATCCTTGTATCTCAACCTCTCCATTGCTGGGATTACAGGTGTATCCTACCATGTCTGACTTTTATTTTTGATTGGCATATAATTACACAGGCTTGTGGAGTACAGTGTGGTATTTCAATTCCTCTATACAATATATAGTGATCAGATCTGGCCAATTAGCACTTCAATTTTTATTTCTGTGTATAGAGTACATCTGAAATCTTTTGAAATACACAGTGACTATATTCACTCTGCTCTACGGCAGAACTTGTCCCTGCCATCTAACTGCAGCACTGGGTCCACTGACCAACTTTTCCCTGTCCCCAACCAAACCCCTCTCCCTAGTCTCAGAGAGTGTTGTTCTATTCTCACCTTGTATGCTATCAACTTTCTCAGATTCTGCATATTTCATGCTCCCTAAGTTTACTCTTTTATTGAGGGGACACACACACGCACGCACGCACGCACACACGCACGCACGCACACACATTCCTCTGGTTACTCCTGGATATACAACATAGATGACAGCTACCTAACTCAATGGGAAGCATTCCCATACCACTCCCCAAGCTGACCCACAGTGTGTTCCAGTATCATTTTCAACTTACCTTTATCTTAACTCATCCCCAGTGTCCCAAGTCTAGCCATTCCATGTGGGATCTTCCAAAGGGATATGCTTTATCTCAGTAGCTACTCCCTACTGTTACATTTGCCTGGGAATGCCCTGGCCCAGCAACCTTCTGTTTTTAAGATACAGGTCAAATGTGAATCCTCTTGGAATTCTCTGGAAACCTTTTCTCCAAAGGAACCATGCAATTGACATCCTTGTAGCAGTTACCTGGACAGCCCTGATCAGTCATTACAATGCTTTCCTTTCTTCTTAGGCCAGCAACTCTCTCTCTCTCTCACTCTCTCTCTGTATGTGTGTGTGTGAATGTGATGCCTGCATGTATGTAAGTGCACCTGTGTCATGTAATGCCTGCAGAGGTCAGAAGAGGACGTTGGATCCCCTGAAACTGGAGTTACACATGGTTGTTAGCCTCCACATGGGTGCTGGGAATTGAACCTGGGTCTTCTGCAAGAACAGACAGTGCTTTTAATCTCTGAGGCATCTTTCCAGCCCAGATTTGAAATATCTTTTAATGCATAGACAATTCATTTTTTCTAAGACTCAACCCATACATTATGAGGGATTGGAGTCATTGTGTCATTGAAATTTTTACCCATGTCCGTAATAGGCTCTTAGTAATTTTTAGATAAATAAATTAGGTGCTAAATGAAGTTTTCTTATGTTAGAACTCTTTGTGTGTGTGTGTGTGTGTGTGTGTGTGTGTGTGTGTGTGTGTGGTATTTCTCTACACAGAACTATTTTTGGTGAGTGTTCATAGACTGCACACATTGAAGTGTTTAGAATTTGAGATGTGAGCCTGAGGATGATTAAAATTAGCCGCTGATGAGCGTGCCCAGAATAGCTCTGCTCTGTGTTTTTTTTTTGTGTGAGCGCTTTGTGTGTGTGTGTGTGTGTGTGTGTGTGTGTGTGTGTGTGTGTGTGTGTCTGTGTGTGTCTGTGTGTAGATCAAAAAACAACCTCAGGTGTTGGTCCCCACCTTACACCTTGCTTGAAACGGGGTTTCCTTGTTCACTCCTGTGTACTCAGGCTCGCTCACCCATGAGTTTCTGGGAATCCACCTGTCTCTGCCTTCCATCTCCCCTCAGAGGTGCACTGACATTGCAGATGCTTGTGCTACTGTGTCCGCTTTTATGTGGGTTCTGGGGTTCCAAATTCAGGTTGTCAGACTTGCACAGCAAGCACTTTACCCACTGAGCCATCTGCGTAGCCTCAGAAGTTAACACTCTTCCAAAAAAAATGAAATGTCAAGTAAAATATCCTCGTTGTTCTAAAAACAAAAACATAGGCTGGAAGGTTGGAAATTTGGATAATGAGTATTCAGGAATAGGATTTAGAGACGGTTTAAATGGCTCCCTGAAAATAGCCTCTGCACCCAGCCTTATATAAGCACAATGTGGACATGAACATGTTTGTAACATTTTGCCTGCCACATCCTACTCCCCAGATCAAGAGATGCTGACAAAGCCCAACCTACAAATTGTAGATTTAACACAAAGCAAATTCTGTCCCTGGATGAAACAGCTGAAAAGAATTAATTTTCTCCCCACTTTTAGAGGGGGAAAAGCCAGTATATTTGTACCTGCTAAAGTATAATTGCACATGTTTTCCAGGCCTTACAGAAGTCCTTTCTTGAGGCTGCTGGACATAGTATGGTTAAGAAGTATGCAAACAAAGGTACATCAGGCCCTCCAGTGGAAACAGTGAATGTGTTGATATTTTAAGCTTGTGATGGAGATAATTAGAATACGTGCAGCTATTTAGCATGAACAATCAATCCTGCTGTGGGACATCTCCTTTGTGTCCTATATCTCATGTCTTGACTGGAGACTATGACTCCCTTGAAGTGGTCAGTAGGAGCAATAAGTCTAGGAGTCAGTGTGAAGCAGGCTCCATACATTTCAGGAAAAGGTTAACAATCTAGGATAGTTGTTTAAGGGCTTCTGAGAATAAAAAGTGTATATATTTTGCTAGTGACCTTTGGTCCAAGGTTGTGTTGGCGCCCTCCATATTTAACAGGTTTCTAGGCTCACAGTTCACTCAGCCTGATTATCTCATGAGCACACATGGTAACTGTTACTTTGTCATTGAGTTAATCCCACCTTATTCAGAATAACTTTAGGTTCTTTTCTATCTAGCAATGTGTTTATGTTGCTGACAATTAAGTTTTGGCTGTTATATGCCTCCATTTCTCTAGCTACCCTTTACCCACCCTTCTGTTTTTCATCTTTTACTATGAAATGTCTCATATATTTTTAAAAGAAGGACCTAGTAAATTTGTAAATTGTAAGGTATGATAATAAAATGAACACCTGTGGACCTGACACCCCGCTCAAGAAATTGCCCATTACCCATATCTTTGAAGCCCTCCACATGGGCCTCTGACCTTACTGCCTTCCTTCCCTTGACTTTTATTTCATGGTTATTTTTTTATTTTCTTTAAACTGTTTTCATATTTCTTTGTGTCCAAAGGGTATATTGTTCAGTATTGCTTGATTTTGAAGTTTTGTGAGAATTTGTAGTCTCTTTGATAATTACCTGAAAGAATAATATGTTCCTTTATTGTTTTCAGCTTAACTCTTATCAAACTGTTCCACAGTTCTCAATTAAACCTTAAATGTTAGGCTGGAGAAATGTTAGGGCTGGAGAGATGGCTCGGTGGTTAAGAGCATTGACTTCTTGTAGAGGACCTGGGTTTAATTCCCATCACCCACATGGCAGCTAACGACTGTCCCAAATTTCAGTTCCAGGGGATCTGATGCCTTTTTCTGACCTCTGCAGGCATTCCACGACACAGGTACACTTACATGCAGGCAATATAATCATACACACAAAATAAAAATAATAAATACGTGGTGGCACACACCTTTAATCCCAGCACTCGGAGGCAGAGGCAGGCGGATCTTTGTGAGTTCAAGGCCAGCCTGGACTACATAGTAAGTTCCAGGACAGCTGGGACTACAGGCAGACCCTGTCTCAAAAAGACCAAAAACAAAGAAAAGAAATGTGATGCCTCCCCTGCCCTCCACCACAGAACATGTTGTTGTTGTTGCTGCTCCTGTCACCAAAACATGCTGTGGTTTAAAAAAATAAATGCTCCATTGACTTGATGCTTCCTGGAACATTAAAAAGATAAAAGGTCATTTTACTATAACTTTTAAAATTACAACTGCCTTTTTGGTTTTATGGCATTGAACATATATACTGCAAAAGAGCTTCCTTCTCAGGCACCAACAACATCGCTTCTGCCACTGTGAGCACTTTTGTCCAGGCATCTCTGAGGGACTCACATGGTCATGAAACTAACCGGCAAAGAGAAAGCAGAGTAGCTTTTAGGCTAATAGAGGTGGAGAGGCCCGTGGATGTTTGTCTGATGTTACCGATTTACCTCAAAACTGGAATTAAAATTTTACTCTCCAAGAAGATCCAGTAAGCTTCTGTAATAGGAAACTCCCTTCTTTAGTGCCTCAGAAGGGGTTTGGAGGTGTTCTGTCTACACTGCTGT